ACAGTGCACACACCACTTCATTTTGCTTAGGCAAAGGTGTTGCTCACACACTGGGCTCCAGGCTGCTGAATAATGACCTCACAATCTTCACTTCTTAAACTATTTCAAAAACTACAAAGGCGTAAGATTATCAAGCTTCTTAGTGGATGGCATTAATTAGAGAATGAATGAAATAAATGTTGGAATATCATTTAGTAATTACAGAGTCCCCCTTGGAATGTCTTCGAATTACTTTAAGATGGAAAGGTCTGATGCCAAGTTGTTTTTTTCTAATAACTCTTTTTTTATTATAAGGATAGAACATAATCCTTACATAAAAATGAAAAACATAATGTAGAAGTAAAAACTAAGTCATTAAATAAAAAGCTACGTCTCTATGTCTAAATAAAGTCTTATTTATATTTTGGTATGTCTTACTTTTAATCTTTTTTTTAATTCATAAATTTGTAGTAATACGAAGTTATGATTGTGTACTCTATACTACTTCAATTTGACTCTTTTCATTTAATCTCACTTTATGCACATGATTCCATGTTATTTCATATTATGAAAAACATTAGTTAATAATGTCAAATGATGTACGATAAACTCTTCTGTGATTCATCAGTCTGAGGCCCAGATGCAGAAAAGAAAATAAAGATAACAATATCTTCCATTTCTCACACCAACAAAAACAGAGCCCTGACTTACTCATCAAAAGGTCATTGTTTAACACATTTTGAAATGTCCTTTCTTTGAGCCGATTATCAGGGCTGTGCAATAAAATGACATATCTCCTAGAATTACAGAGAATTAGAAAATTAGTATGACAAAGGCAGAAGAGCCGGGATTTCAGACCTCCCTAAAAGCACTAGGTTGTACAGGGAGGGACCAAGAATCCGGAAGGCCCAAGTTTAGAGCAAAGTGAAGGATTCATTTAAAAGAGATTCAGGAAGGTAATCTAAGTCAGCCAATTCTTGTTTGGCCAAGAGTGGTGGGGACTGAATGTCATTACCAGCTGACAGACGCTCAGTGCCTTGAATGAAATGAGCTGGTCTCATTCCAGTTCCTAGAGAACAGGTGTGCACATCACCGAAGGAAAGGGGGAAAATCTACTGATACCATTGGCACATTAGCATCTTTGCTGGCGGGCTCAGAAGGAAGGCCAAGAGTTCAGTGGCTGTGGAGGAGGCTGATTTGCTCTGGAACACAGAAGAACACACTGATGAGCACTTGTGAAACCACAATTCTCAAAGTGCCCATAGCCCCAGAACTCCAAACCCTGATACATGCCTGTGTGGGCGCAGTCGATGCATGGTTATGTTGAGTCCTAGAACCCTTTGGAAAACCCAGAAAGGCAACCCCTTCACCAACTAAAAAAAATATGTTGCCAGCTGCATTCCCAGTTTAAATCCTGCCCCTTCCATGAAATTCTCCCTGTCTCTGATCAGATCTCTTCTGGTATTCTGTATCTGTATTACCCGTGGGACACTCATCTAGTAGTGTTATTTAGATGACTTTAGAGTTCAGCACATCCAGACAAGTACCTGGGATACCAGCCTGGAAGAAATGGCCTATTTTTAAGTTGTGAGATCACCAAAGAGACTACGGAACCTTTCTGTTCCTACTTACACCCCAGAGAAGCCTCAGAGTCCCTCGAGAGAGCTCTGCTTCTCAGACCTAGGTCCTCAGCTTGGGTAGCATTTAAGACTCCGTCCAACCCCCTACCCACCACATTCCTTCCTCCTCGCCAGTCCTACCTTTCCTCCTTCCAACCTCGTCCTTACCTCTCCCATCAATCAATCTGTCTTGCTCTCTTTATACCCTTGGCAATTCTTTACTCTGTTCTCTTGAACAAACTATTGCCTCCACCAGGAATATTTTCTTCCCTTCTTTCAATCAATCCACTACCATGACCCATCTCCTCAAAGACATGGCTTGGAACTATCTAATTGGAAGAAAAGTCTTCTCAGACCAACCATGCATTGATCGGGCAGAGTTAGTGTTGCACTGTGTATTTTCTGGGTTGGCGTTATTTCTCTGACCACCAGGTTGAAGCCTCTGGACAAGCTTGATCACTGTCTGCCCCCACTGTGGTCTGATACAATGGTCTGCACACAACAGATGTTTGTTCTATAAATATTTGTGAACTAAAATAAATGTGATTTAAAAATTTTTTCAATTTTTTACACAGAAGTGATTTTTCTTAAAATAGAGCTTAGTTTGTGGGTCTACTTTTCAAACACAATAAATTGATAATGAAGGTAAGGTGCTATGGACTGAATGTTCGTGTCTCCTCAAAATTTGTATGTTGGAATCCTGGACCCCAAGGTGATGGTATTAGGAGGTGGGGCCTTTGGGAGGTGATTAGGCCATGAGGGTGGAGCCCACATAAATAGGATTAGTGCCTTATAAAGAGGCCCTAGAGAGGTCATTTGTCCCTTTGGCCATGTGAGGACACAGAGAAAAAAGATGGCCATCTATGAACCAGAAAGTGAGCCCTCACAGGTAAAGAATAGGCCAGCACCATGATCTTGGGCTTCCCAGCCTGCACAACTGTGAGAAATAAATGTGTGTTGTTGATAAGCCACCCACTTTATAGTATTTTGGTTATAGCATCCTGAACGAATTAAGACAGTAAGTAAAAGAGTGAGAAGTAAAGAGACTGAATGGCCATCAGTATCCCTTAGCCTCCGCCACTGCTATTCCTACTACCTCTTGACCAATTATAACAGGAGCTATCATTTGATGAGTGGGTAGTCTTTGCCAAGCACAATATGTACTTTACGTTGTTTAACCCTAAGAGATGGAAGCTGTTATTCTTTTGTTAGCATTTTGCAGAGGGAAAAAGTGAGGCTTAGATAAGTTCAGCAATTTGCTCAGAATCACATTTTAAGTGGAAGTCAGCTTCTACTGAACTAAGAGGAAAGGATGGGGAAGAAAGTCCAGGAAAAAGAAGAAGTATTTGGTCACATTTTGCAGAGTGCCGTCCAGTCAAATCTCCCTTCATAACTACAGCGGCTGCAGTGGTGTGCCAGGTACCTCCTTTAGAATCCAGGGAGGCCCCCCCTTCCCCAACGAGGGAGGGGTGGCTGCTGATAGCTCACAGCTAAGCCCCAGCCTGGGATCTGTCCGTGGAAGAAGGGGGCCGCCTCAGCCAAGGTACAGCCCCACTCAGGGCTGGTCAGACAGAAGGGTACAAAAAACCTGAGTGCTTTGCCTCACTTTGGGTTATTTCTGAAGGGCCACGCCAACATCAGCGGTCCCCATAGCATTGGCCAAGGCCTCTCTGACAATATTCCAGCTCAGCTTCTCTACCCACCAAATTCTGCCTTCCTCCTTCCCTCCCTGACACTTGTTGTTCCCGAGAGCAGGCCCAGAAAAGCTTCCTGCAGGCAAGTCTCTGAGCCTAGTTCCTGGGAAGCTTCCTGAAGACAGTAATGGGAAACAGAAATCAGGGCCCAGGGCCTGTGCTCTAACCCAAACCCAGGAGTGAGGCACCAAAAGGGCACATCCAAATCTCCTCACCTGCTGTTAGCTGTGGAAAAACCTGAGACCCACGCGGAGCCCGGCTGTGTAGCCCTGCACCCAGATGTCCCCTTTGGTCCAGGTGGTGGCTTTCCCTGGCCCCGTCCCATCACCTACCATGACCTGGACACCCTCTCCCATCTCACCTTGTTCCTATCAGGTTCTGCTGTCAGGAGAGGGTTTAATGAACTTAGTCACACAAAAGGAAAATTAGTAAGGTATTACTGCTTGGGATTGAAAATAAGCTCATGCTCACTTTAAATTTAAACCAAAGAAAGACCATTTACAGCAAAATCCCAGATAGTTAGTTATTGGCTTGTTCACTCAGTGGAAACATATATTTGAACACCTACTGTGCTGAGCTGGCTGTGAGTTGGGTGAAAGAGTGGCTGTTTTAGGTTGGGCTGGCCACCCCAGTCCTTTGGAACGAACCTCAATGGTTGACTCTACTGAACTCTAAGACCTCCACTTTCCATCTATGTCCCACATGCTGCGAGGGTGCACCAACGTCATGCAGATTTAGGAGGTCACTAGTTGCTGATGAATTACCACACTGCAACAGGGACAGACATCTATGGGTGGTTCCCCCCACTCCTCCAGGACTAAATGAAAATCTAGGTTTTGCATATGGAGTTCATGTCACCAGAAGACAAAGAAGTAAGCAATCAGTCCTTCTCTATCAACTCAAAAGCACACTAAAAGCTTTTTTCAAGCTACTAGGAGATGGTTCAGAGAAGGCAGCAGCCTTTTAAATTGAGGCTTCCCTGCTATTCAGCAAAGTCGTATTTACCTACTTTTAGACAGGTTCAAGGTGAAGGGCACATAGAAAAAATTCATCGGGGGGCGGGGGGTGTTGGGGGCGGGGGGCAGTGTCTGCTACAGGCTACCTACTCTATGAATGCTTCCTATGTCTACTGAAGAAGAAAGATGGAAGATGTCTCTAATTTTCTCATATCTCAAAAATGAACACAGGAGTTGCTGCTCGCCTCGTCACAGGTGAATATATACAGCGATGAGGCAGCAGGCTCAGTGGAAGACACTGGAGACTCAAGGATGAAGAATTTTAATTGCCATTTACTACTGTTATCTAGCTAGGAATTCTCACATAAGTAAGTCACTTAACTGTTCCTGTAACCTCAATTAAAAAAAAAAGTGAGATTAATACAGGTTCAGTTCACAGTTTGCTATCAGGTATAATTGATAAAGTACACAAAACCACTGAACCTACATTATTCATTAATAATTCCCAAAAAGAATCTAAACTCTCCCTTTGGCAACATAAATGTGGCTTTTTTAAATTGGCAGATATGTTTTCACTAATAAAAAGGTAAGATTTTTAAATACCTAGATGAGTGTTTTTAACACACACACACACACACACACACACACGCGCGCGCCAGGGAAACGACAGACCGAAAACAGTGTGAAGTCTGACTCACCTGTAATGATGAGAGTGGCTTACAGGTATAACCTAAAGCTCTGGGATAATTTACCTTGATATTCTGCCACAGATGACCGAGCACGGATCCGTATTGTGCAAGTACTGAATGGCTTTGGCTGTTCCTATTAATACACTGATTCGAATGTTCCAAGAGAGTGGGTCTGTATTCCCCTAAAAAGACAACAGTAGTTGGTTTACTTAAACTTTCTGAGTAAAAACCACGTATATATTCATTACATAGATGTATGCCAGAATAGAAGCTGATGGGGAGGGGGCGTGTGGTAGGTTTATCATAACCTATTTTTAATTCAAGATAGGTTTCTCTCTACTCTCAATGATGGTTCTAGGCCTTTGTAGCTAATGAAAATACCCAATAATTTAATAATAGCTTAATCGAAGTATGGCTAATAAGGTATTTATGTTTAAAAGTACACTAAATAAGATTTTTAATTATTTGTGTCACTATAGTGTGGGTAATTAAGAATCATCTGGTTTTATTCTCATCTTAACTGAAACTTAACCTACCTATGTGAATCAATTTTTAAACATACCTTTCAAAAACATCTTATGAAAAAACATGGCATTTATTCAACCTGCTTCTCTTTAAGGAGTTGGCATCACTTTTATATCTATTTGAATGGTACCTTGTGTAAAGTTATACAAATAAAAATATCTGGGCAATAAGGGTAGTTGATGTAAACTCATTTGAGATACAGAATCAACAAAGAGTAAGGACCTGGCAAATCTTTTGGCCGCCATGCGGCACAACACACAATGACTCAGGTATTTATTTATGTAGCCTTCTAAGAGTAATAAATTAATTCATGGACAAGTCCTCTACTTCCTCGGGAAGCCCATTGTTGGCTGTCCCCACATATGAGCACACACTGGCCTCCCAGCTCTCACCGAAGGTTTCAGCAGCTGCCCAGGGGCTTCAGAGGGTCAGGGTAGCAAGCAGAGTAATGGATATGACTTACTACACACTGTAATCTGTCAAAAAGTGATCCGTTTTTCATATATGGATAAACCAGGCAGAACTTCTCACTTTCTGTAAAATATGCAGCCAACTCCAGTATATTTGGATGACGAAATCTTGAAACAAAAGGTTTTTAAATCCATCAAATTGTTTATTCAAATAAGAAATGAATAAGACTCTGGTTTGGAGATGGGGAATAGGTCTGAAGCAAATATACATTTGGCCAAGGGAGAAGTCATTTCCTTGGATACATGACACAGATTCGCTTTCCAAATTGGTCTAAAGCATTCTAACAAATACTAGCCACTCTCTGATTGATTGTGACCATGCAAATATTGGGTTGTCAGGAAAGTCATGACACGTTTTTGCAAAAAAAACCTACGTAAAGATGCGTCATGACTTTCCCGACAACCCAACATAAATAAAATATCCAAACATACGACAGAAAATTTAAGAAAGTGAAGAGTTCTTAAGATTTGGGGTGTTGGGCACTTTACAACAAATAGACCACAGTATTGGATATTCATTTATTTCTATCAACATGGAACCCAACATAACTTATTAAATAAATAAAGATAACGCAACTAAAACTATCCACTCCACTGATTTAGGTAGATACGTGTAAATGAAGTTACCAAAATAGAAGGCTACAGAAGACTTGTTTTCATTCATCCATTTATTGAGCATTACTATGTCAGGTCCTGTACTAGGCATCAGTCACCCAGCTAAAAGAGATATCTTCACAAAGTTTGTCTTCACAAAGTTTGTATTGTTATCTAAAATCCAAGTGACTAGAAAAGTTTGATGATGAAAAGTATATTACTAACTTTTAAATCATAGAATTCTGTGTCAGTGTAATATACATTTTTCAGGCTCCTTTCCTTAAAAACTCTCTTGAGTGCATGTGTCATCACTTCGGAAACCAATGAAACCCAGTAATAACTATGAAATATAAAACATGTGAGATTCACACATACTGTGAACTCGGTTCAATTCTTCAACTATTTATTGAACATCTACTATGCCACAGGCATGCTTGGGAGTATTAAAATAAATAAAGCTATTTTTTAAAAAAACTGGTTCTATTTACAAAGGCCTATTATTTTTTCTTCAGTAGCAAAACTTTGCTATAAAGCACATATATATCTCCCTTCTGAGTCCTTGTATTCCTCCCTCCAGAAGGGGGTGTGTGTGTGTGTGTCAGTGTGTGTGTGTGTGTGTACAAATATACACACACACACACACACAAACACACAGAAAGGCTTTTATTTTTATTCATTTTTTTTAAATTATTTTTTTTTACTGGGGAACAGTGTGTTTTTCCAGGACCCATCAGCACCAAGTCAAGTAGTTGTTTCATTCTAGTGGAGGGCGCACCTCAGTGGCCCATGTGGGGACTGAACTGACAACCTTGGTGTTATGAGCACTGTGCTCTAACCAACTGAACTAACCGGCCATCCAATACTTTTATTTTTAAATATGTCAAAAACTTCTGTGACACAAGATCCCTGCACCTATTATGATTCAGATCATATCTATAAAATGAAAAGCAATGGACTGAAAAGGAACTGAGCTAGTGTATTTGGCTGCTAAAACAGCTGATCTATGCCATTAGCTGGTTGATTCCCCTGTAATTTAAAATAATTTAATAAAACAGAAATCTTTTGGAAAGCAGTAGACATAAGACCTCGTATAGACACAGCCATGGCTTTGCTCTCTTTCTCATAGAACAGAAATGACCATTTGCTCATTTTTAAATATTTCTGACCAAGCAGAAAAGTGGACACTTTAAAAGTTATCGAGGTACAGAACATGGAGGTGCCATAGGGAATGATTGCTAATTTTAATTCTATGGACCCATCTCACCCATCATTTCTACAAGCTTTTAAGATTATATGGATCTGAAGATCAGCTGATCTGATACCTTTTAAAATCAATTCAACAAGTATTTCTGAGCGCCTACTGCAGATAAAACATGAAAGATACCACGATGTGGTATAGCAGACAGACCTGAATGACGGACAAACCTGGCTTTGAATCTCTAGCCTTCTTTTTATCAGCTGTGTAAAGTTGGGTAAGTTATTTAATCTCTATGATCTGAATTGTGTCCCCCTCAAATACCTATGTTGAAGCCCTAAGCCCCAATGCAATGATGTTTGAAGATGAGGCCTTTGGGCGATAACGAGGGTTAGGCGGGGTCATGAGGGTGAGGCCCTCATGATGGGATTAGTGTCCTTATAAGAAGAAACACCCAGAGAGTTTGCTTCCTCTCTCTCTACCATGTGAAGACACAACAAGAAGGCAGATATCTGCAAGCCAGGAAGAGACCTCTCACCAGGAGTCAACTTTGCCTTGACTTTGGACTTCCCAGCCTTCAGAACTGTGAGCAAATACATTTCTGTTTTTTAAGCTAGCCAATCTATGGAAATAGGTAAAATACCTACTTCCCAAGATTCTCATGAAAATTAAACATTAAACATTTAGCCAAGTGCCAGATCCTCAGAAATTATTAGCGCTTTTCCCTTCCATTGAGGGAAGAGGAAAAAAGAAATCAGAAGCCACATTCAAAGGAGTTTAAGATTCTATTTAAAGCACAATGATTAAGCATTTCCCTTAATATTAAATTAAGAAAACTCATCCTCAGGTCGCAGTTTGATGTTACTTTTTCCAAGAAGCCTACTTTGCCACCGCCCTCCACCCCCAAGTTACCATTTCCTCTTCTTCGGTGCTCTGTACATTCTCATCTTATCATTTAATTTACTGAAATTGCCTATTTAGTTATGTACTTCTCTCTTAATCCCACTCCAAACATCTCAGATGCTATATTCTAAAAGGAGAAGGCTGCATCTGACGTATTCATTAGTAAATGTCTGAGGAGAGGGTGACTAAGGATGACTTAGGAAATAAGTTGGATTTTGCAAAAAAGTAGCATTTACTTCGGTTTCCTCATCTGTAAAATCGGGACATTTACCTCATAGGATTGTCAATTACCACATAGGTAATCCTATGGTTACCTCATAGGATTACAAAATTAATACATGTGAAGTTCTTGGTATAGGGACTAGGACTAAATAAATATTAGCAATACAAATAATAATGATGGCAAACCAGGAATATTCAACATCATAGAGTTGTTAATTATCTCTAAATTAATATATAAATATCTCAACAGAATAAATCCAAGTGGATCAGATATATAAATGTAAAAAATGAAATCATAAAAGTACTTGGAAAAAAATGGCAATATTACTTTATAACCTCTCAGTGCGAAGGCCTTTTAAACTATGATATAAAACCCAGAATCCATAAAAGAAAATATAGGTTAAATTCAACTACACAAAAACCATTCCCACATGGCAAAACTAGAATAAGCAAAGACAAATGACAATCCGGTAAAAATTATTTGTATCTCACAACATAAAAATAGGGTTAATTTTTTCTAATCTATAAAATTCTCTTACAAACCATTCAGAAAATTCTGAACAGCCTAATAAAAAAATGGGCAAAGGATATTATCAGATATTGTATAGCAAAGGAACTATATCTCTTAATGTGTGAAGAGAAATTTAACTACACTGAGAAACCATTTCCACCTAGCAGATTGGTAGAAATTAAAAGTGAACAATAAACACTATATTGACAAGAATGTGGGGAACCAGGCATTCTTACATATGACTGATATAAGTGTAAATTAGTATAACTTCTATTGGAGGACACTTTAGTAATATGTAATACACATAACCATTTGACCTATAATTTTATTTATGTAAAATTATGTTATATTCAAACAGGTATGAAATAACATATGTACAAGGTTTCCTTGTTGGAGCATTATTTTTAAAAAATAAAAGATGCAAAAATGATCTAAAACCATCAATAGGAGAATATTTAATTACTGTACAGCACACAATGGAATATTAAAATAAGCAAAGTGAACAAAGTATTTATGCTACCTCTTGTACAAGAAGAAGAAAATAAGAAAACAAAATACATATATGCTTATCCATAAAATATCTCTGGAGAGATACACAAGAAACTGATAACTTGGTTGCCTTTGCAAATATCAGCTGGGTGGTTGGATGATAATAGAGGAAGAAAGTATTTTCTTGGTTTACTCTTTAGCACTTTTGGAATTTTGAAGTGTTTGAACTTATTACTTATTCATAAGCAAATAAATAAAGCTTAAATATAAAAACCTTACTGTAATTTTAGTTTTAGTTTTTTGTTGACTAAATGATATATGTTAAGTTTTTATGGTTAGCCTCTAACGTTTTGATTTCCGGTCCTAGGTATAGAAGGAGAAGGATTTATACCCCTCCCCCCAGTCACATATTGGTTTAGAAAACATCTGAAAAGAACATTTTCTATTTGTAAAGGGTGATGGGTGAACTCTATAGGGTTAGGGGCCTTCGATGAGGCAGGCTGCACAGCTGCAGATATGAATATATATGAAAATGAAGTCATTTTCGTCTGTCTCCAAGGACTGACTCTCAGACGTGAATGAATTTCCAGAAAATAACAGGCACATCAAAAGTACTTGATTCCTTTGTCTAAAATGCTCTTCCTAAAGAGGGTTATACTGATGAAATAGTTTCTTGACTGAATGTCTCTAAGGAAAGGAAAAATGGTAAAATATATACAATTCTAATGTTCTAAGAACTATTTTACACTCAGCCATGTTAGTCACACATGATTTAGCCCACTCCCCTGAGACAGTTTCTTGTTAAAATATGTTCAAGTGAATTATGTAAATGGCCTATCTTAAAATGTATTCTAAGAAATATATTAAAGCAGATGTCAAAAATGTACCCAATGTTCTAATATCCAGCTCACATTTATTAAATGCCAACCATGTCAAGCTCTGTGCTGTAGAATCAAAGATGAACAAAGATGAAAACCAGGCACATAGGTTTTCCAGAAAAAATATACTCACAGTAGTAAGACTTCAAGCTCAGATAAAAATCTCTTCCACTGTTTCTTACATTGCATTTTTTTCTCCTAAATATCATACAGGAAAACAAGAAAACAATTAAGGAAAGAATTTCTGTTTCTGGCATTCTTTTTTTTTTTTTTTAATGTTTTATTGGGGAACTGGGGGAGGGAAACAGACAGGTTGCTGTCCTTTTGTTCTTTAGTCTAGTGGTGGAGGATGTTGTTTCACTGGCCCATGTTGGTATTATCATTGCGCTCTTCCTGGGTAAGGCAGTTGCTTCCCGGCCATTGGACGGCTGGCTGCTCACGGCGGCCCATGGTAGCTCACGCCGGTTGCCAACCGCTCACGCTGGCTGCCAGCCACTCACAGTAGCTCACGGCAGCCCACTGCAGCAGGGGTTGCAGCCTATACCATCGTTGGCGACTCACGGCAGCCCAGCTCCAGGTCGAGCTGTTGTTCACCATCTTAGCTGTAGAGGGCGCAGCATCACTGGCCCTCATGTGGAATCCGAACCGGGGCCCTGCTGCTCAGAGCTGGTGTCCCAAGCGAACTCTTAACCAATGCGTCACTTGGCCAGCCCTGTTTCTGGCATTCTTAACCCAGGGCCTATAGCCTCCCAAAAAGATGAACTTTGTGATATAAATGCAAATGAACATTTTTCTGGGGAGAGGCTCCTTAGCTTTAATCAGATTTTCAAAAATCTATTAACCCCAAAACAGATTTAGAACCACTGCTCTTAAATTAAAAGTTTTTCATGCAATGTATCATGTTGCCATATTTTATATTTAGACCCACCATATTTTGCACAATTTACATAAATTCAAAAATATTATATGTATTCAAAGACAATTGTATGATGGTTAGAAATTCCCCAACTTGATCTCATAAAAAATCCAGTCTATGATAACTATATTCTGGTTAGAAGTGATTTCACTAATTTGGCATTTATGACTTGGGTCATTTAAATAGATTGGTTCAGGGCCGGCCGAGTGATGCATTGGTTAAGAGCTGGCTTGGGACACCAGAGGGCCCCGATTCGGATCCCACATATGAGGGCCAGTGACACTGCTCTCTACAGCTAAGATGCTGAACAACAGCTCCACCTGGAGCTGGGCTGCCTTGAGTCGCTGGCAACGGCGTAGGCTGCAGCCCCTGTGGCAGTGGGTTGCCATGGGCTACTGTGTGTAGCCAGCAGCCAGTGTGAGTGGCGTCCAGAAGCCGGCGACTGATCTGCCTCGCCCAGGAAGAGCACAATGATGGTGCCAACTTGGGCCAGTGAAGCGACGTCCTCCACAACTAGACTGAAGAACAAAAGGACAGCAACTTGTCTGTTCCCCTTCCCCCAATTCCCCAGCACTGTTCCCATCCTCCCCCAATTCCCCAATAAAAATAATAATAATAATAAATAAATAAATAAATAAATAAATACATTGGTTCAAGTTTACCTTTGTATTAATTTTGTAAAAACGGGCTTACTAACCAAATGAAAAATATAACTCCATATTTCAAAGATGCTTCAGAAACTAGCCCAGTGCCTGACATAAATACTTACTGAATAAATTAATGAATTTGATAACATTGTATTGAGCACCTGCTCTACTTGGCACTGTTCTCAGTGGCTTCATACACCTTACGTCACTGCATGTCTCTGAATCTCAGGCTCCTAACTTCTACAATGAAAGAGTTAAATTAAATGTGCTCCTAGGTCCCATCAGCTGTTAGTTCTATCATTTGCAGATTCCTAAACAGGGCAGAGTTTTTAGAGCTCTCTGTCCTCAGGAATAAAGAGAGAGAAATTCAGCAAGAATTCTGGAAGCTGTTTTCCAAATTAATCCAGGAGGTCAGAAACAATAAACTAGGCTGACAATATGAGAATTTATATTTTTTTAAAAAACCTTTGTTGTGGAATCCAAGTGGATTGGGGCTCACGCCCATCTCCAACACTCACTATTTGTGACTTTTTGTTACTTAACCTCCCCAATGTCATAGTTTTCTTAATCTGAAAAATGTAGGGGTTCGTTTTTGTGTTCATGCTAAGCTAGCACTCTTGCTGCTCAAGGGGGGTGGTCTGTGCATGGGGAGCATCAGTGTCACTGGGAGCTGGTGACAAATGCGGAATCTCAGGTCCCTGCCCAGATGTGCTGGATCAGGGTCTGCATGGAAAGATCTCCAGGCGATTTGGATGCACCTCTCTAACCCATCTAGTACATTTCCCTACTTCAGTCTTTCTAAGAAAGGTTACTGAAGTTAATGTCCAATTTGACAAAACCACATTTCTTTTAAAAGATGCTCTGGAGCTAAAGCTTCATGAAATTATCTCACCTTTCCTGATAACCATGTGGGTGTGTGACAGAGAGTGTGTGTAGGGCTCTGTACAGTCTCTAGGTCTTTGGTAACTTTGTTCTCTCCTGTCTTTTTACTCCTAGAGATTATCAACTAAATTCATGAAAACGGCATATATGCTTTATTCAGTTCATCCAACAAACATTTATTGAGCAACTACTAGGACCAGGCCTAGTAGTTAGGCACTGTAATAAGGCACTGGGATATGAAGATAAATAAGACCTCTTTAAAGAAAGTCATCTTGTCTGTTGCGAGAGGTGGATGAAGAAATCAATGCTACGAGATAAGGCTATGATGCTGTGGCTACACATAGGAGGATCACCAAAACCATCTGGAGGTGTCAGAAGCAATCAACGAAATGATCACTGTCTCTGGGACAGAAAGGGGAGGAGATCTAGGGGCAATGCCATCTCACTCTGAAGACAGGCTCCTGGAAAGAAAACTCCCCAAATGGAGTATGAGGTGGTGGCAGCTGCAGAGAGAAGAGGAGGTAGATGGATGGAACCTTTAGGGAGATGGCCCTGGGCTCAACCAAAAGAGAATGTACAAATGGCGCCAGGGACACACTGGCCCTGAGAAAAGGCTTCGGTTAAGCCACCTCTAGGACAACCACACTCTCTTTGTTGGATGGTTTTTACCAGTACTTAGCTTCATTTCTGTATTAGACCATTAGTCTTATCAGGAATCCTGAGATGTCTATACAGAACTAGTGGGCAGAACACAACTGGAGGAAATGGAGAAATCAGGTAATTAATTTTTTTTAAAGCCCCTGTAATCTAAGCTGCAAAGTGGGATTCACCTTAGATTCCTCCCTCCCCGCTATTTCCCCAGGCCTACCCAACATTTCCCTATATTTGGTCCATTTCATTTCATCTCTTAGGTATACCTTCTCCTCCTCGTTCCCTCTGCCTCTGCCCCATCTCACAGCAGTGGTTCTCAACACTGGCTATACCTATGCACCACCGGGAAAGCCTTTTAAAATACTGATGCCTGCCACCACCACCACTATCTGACCTAACTTGATGCTAAGAGGCTCATTTTTAAAAAGCACCCTAGGTGATTCTAATATTAGGGTTGAGACCCTTGGTTTAAGCCCTTTCCATTGCTTAGTTGACACATCTGAAACATCTGCCTGCCAGGTCTTTTCACCTCCACTCTAAGTTCTCGCCATCTTTCCTCCAATGCCCCTGCCAACTTCCAGTCCATCATCTAACCTGTAATCCAAGTTATTTTTCAAAAACACAAATCTAGTCTTTTCACTCTCCCTCTTAAAAACCATCCATGGACTTAACCTATCTTTCCAGTGTCACCTTCAGCCACTACCTTCCGACCCCCATGCTAAACTCTACTCCACTGAGTGATGTGTTATTCATGAGTCAGATGTAGGCTTTCATGCCTGGGCCTCTAGGACTTTGCACCCACTATTTATTCCACCACCAAAATACTTCCCCTCCCTCACTGCCTGCCAAAATTCCACCCATCCTTCAAAATCCAGCGGAAAGTTCATTTCCTTTCATCCACTTTTGCATTTGTTTATTGCAGAAACGTTTATTGAGTGGTTATTCTGTGCCATGCATTCTTCTGGGTGCTGGACGCACACCTCCTCTGGCTATATTTCATGTGCTCCCATGACCTTTTGGACAAACCTCTGCTAAAGTACTTCTCACACTGCAGTTTAATCTTTTCCTTAGCTGGCTGTTTCCCCCTGTAAGACGGTGGATGGAACTACTCCTTGTGGATGGAACTATGCCTTATTCATCTTTGCATTCTCAGTACCCAACCCATAGAAGGAGTTTGGAAAATGTTTACTGACTGCTGACTGACAGTGAAGAACATGAGCAGCTAGTTTGGGTATATGGTGTGTACCTGTCTCTTTCTGACTCCTGAGTTAGATCCCTTGATACCCTTTCTGCGTTACTGGTTGCAGTCACTCAGCGGTCTCCTAGTCTAGTCTGATCACTGCCTTGCTGCTCCTACCTGAAGCCTCCTCTTTCTCACCCTCCTGAGCCATGATAGAAGACAATTGATAAAGTTGCATGGAATGCCAATCTGTGGCTTAGCCTGTGAGTTGCCTAGAGAGGGCAGTATCCATCCTTAAAAAACCATGAAAATTGGAGCAGCCTGGCACAATCTGACCATCTTAAGCAAAGTCCCAAAGGTCCTATAAAGCTTTTCAGAAAAGTCTTTCTTATGCAATACATCTGGGGATGGGAAGGATTTAACTTCCACATTCTTGCAAGACAGGCGTTCATTTCTCCACTCACCTGAGGTCATTTATCTTATTTCCATTTATGACATTTTATTTTCAAATACACCCTCTTTTAAATGGTGATGAAAATGACACATTCTAATATGAAATATGAGCAAATAAATGGAATTGATATCCTGTGATAGTAATTCTTTCCATACCTGTTTAAATAATTTAATGGCATATGTTCTGTTTTGGATCTCTGCTCTGTAGACTTCAAAAATCTCCCCTTCTCCAATTAGGAAGTCTTTGTGGAAGTTTTTGGTTCCTTCTACGATGTTTTGAAAGCTGATAGAGGAATTAAGCAATACTCCTTAGGAAGGAAAATAGGGAGAAGATAAGTTACCTTTTCTCTTTTTAAGAATCATTGCTGCCTTTATAAAAGCAGACTTTCATATTTGAAAAACACCAGAGCCCAGTGGAAGGTCAGTCAAGTAAGGCCCAGGCACCAAACTGAACCCCACCATGTGTTCTCTGCACATCTACTCAGGCCTGGCTCCCACCATTCCACGGAGCAAATGGCTTTTCAGTTATCAGAACAATGGCACAGTGATTCTATCACCTTTCCAAAGAGATCAGCCAAAGAGCTTAGTTGGGAAAACTTTTCCAAGACCCTATTTGTTTGTCATTAGAACTATGAACCTAAAACCAGAAAAAAAAAATCTGTATTAGTGAAAATCTTGATATGACTAAAAAATATTGTCTAAGCATGACTGATGGAAACATTTTGCATGAACCAAATCCTCTAAATGCCCAACTTACTTCCTCAGAGTAAATTAAGAAGATCTTCTGTTTTTTAAAAATCATCTAAAGCAGAGATTGGGAGAAAACATTTAAAAGGTAATCAAATATAAATTCAAAAGGAAAAGCTTGGCTAAATCCTTCAGAGCCTAACTTTGTCTATTTTTCCACATTTAATGTTTGATTTAGACCTTATTGTTAAACCTTAAAGGATCGAAACTTTTCTAATTCTCTTCTGAACCAAAGAAGCACCACATATAGTGGCAAAGATTAGGCAAGGCAGCCTTAAATAGACATTAAAGTTTATCAGAACGATTCCCAGGTAGAACTAAATTAGTATCCTTACTAACAAAGTAGGACAGTTGATATGGAAAACAACTGGATTTTCATAGTGACTTTCAGAACTACTCTACAAACATCTCTGAAGATCTCTGCAAGTGCTACAAAAATTTCTAAAACTATATAAAACCCAACATAATTTTTTAAATGTTTTCCTATGACACATAAAAATATCAAATTTCTCTGACAGAAAATAAGGAATCCCCCTAAGTGAAGAAAACACAATTAAGCTCTTCATTGGCCGATGGATTTCTAATATAACAATAATATATTATCCATCAGAACTGTATCAGTCAAAATTGGAAATATTTCAATATCTCTGAAAATTTTATTCTGAATCTGTATATTAATGAACAGTTATTGGATATTTCTCCCTCTGAATTCACTTAAAGGAAAGTATGATTTAAAAAAGGAGTTAGGGTGTTTGGATATTTTTTACCTTTTTTATTATGTTCAGGAATAAGAACATTATCCACTGTGACACTGGCTGTTTCCTAAGAGAAGAAATATATATTACAGTGATTTCATTTCATAAGTCTAGAAAGAATAGAACCTCAACAGAAATCCAAAGCTCCCCTTGGGACTATGCAGTTCAATATACTGAAATCTAATTTAGAGAAAAGTCAGTAGAAAGCAACATTATTTTATTTTATTCAACAGTATTCATTGCCATATATATTTAAGACTTCCAGACCAACTGTAAAAACTCAAGTATCAATGTCATAGTCAGTTAAAGTCAATTTTCAATGACTTCTATTGCTATAAAAATGATCACTGCTAATTGGCTTTAATAAACGCTAACAGCAACATACATAACACCAACTAGAACAGAAAAATTAACAGCTGAGTTAAGACAAATGCATAACTCACAGCACTCTTAATAGTTCTAAGTCTCATCTCTGACAGATCACTGAGAGGAAAAAGCTCTTAACTCTTCAAACATTTACGTATCTCTAATTTTCTGAATCCCCAACTAAACAAAGAATAATGAGAGAGTTAAGCCTTTTCTGCTTTAAAAAAAATGTACCTGCAAGTCCAGCATTTTTTCTGTCTGATAATTTCATTCCTTACGCTCAATTATATATGCAACAGAATTCAAAGGTCATTATCTATGCACATACACTCTACCTTGGGGAACATGTTTGGAACTGCATCTCCCTGATGACTTTGCATTGAAGGATTCAAGACTGCTCCTGAAAGAGAGATAAGGGGAACTAGATACCAAAAAAATTTTATGTTCCTAGTAAACTTGTTTTTTTTCTTTCTTAGGCTGTGAAAATAACTACCTTGATAGTAATGCTCATTTCTAAAGCTCAGTTTCATTCCCATTGAATGGTTACAAATTTATGTGTGAGAAAAACTTTCTAATGATCAAATATTATACAAACATACTTTGGTTCCCTTAATCTGAAATCATTGTTATACATTATTAAAAACATTAAAGTATGAAGTAGAAAATTGAAAGGAAAAAGCAACGTTATTATCTTTTTACACATATATTTTTAAATTTTTTACAATTGTGGGATTATATCTCTTTGGGTTAGTTTATTTTTTATCCCATCTTGTGGCACAAGGTATTAGAGGTGTGTGTGTGTCATCCACCACAAACACCTACCACTCCTCCCAAATTTTAGACTGTAACTTCTGTCTGTCACAGTTCTGTCTGAATTGAGGTAGTCTAGGTAGGTTCCTACAAAAGATTAAAACCTTACAATATTTTGCAGTCACTTCTGACATTTTGATACAGCCTTTAAAAATTTTTTATTTCACCCTCTAATTATTCTGAGATTGTATTCTAGTATTTCTTAAATTATTTTGCTTAGAAGACTGGCAACAAAACACTATCAACTGATAACAAGTCTCCTTGAACAACATTATAAACCAATTAGACCTAACAGACATTATAGAACATTTCATCCTAAAACAGAAGACTACACACATAATTCACAAGTGCACATTGAACATGCTCCCAAATAGACCACATGTTAGGTAAATAAAATAAGCCTCAATAAATTTGGAAGGGTTGAAATCATACAAAGCATATTCTTTGAGCACAATGGAATTAAAGTAGAAATCAGTAACAGAAGGAAATTTGGGGAATCCATAAATACATGGAAATTAAACAACACAATCATAAATAACCAATGAATCAAGTAAGTAACCACAAGGGAAGTTAGAAGATACTTTGAGATAAGTGAAAATGAGAACACAACATTTCAAAACTTATAAAATGCAGTGCATAAATTTATAGCTGTGCATGCCTTAAAAAAGAAGAAATGTCTCAAGTCAATAACCTAAACTTACACCTTAAGGAACTAGAAAAAAAGAGTAACTAAACTGAAGGAAGTGGAAGGAAGAAAAGAATTAAGATTAGCATGGAATTAAATGAAACAAAGACTAGAAAAACAAAAGAAAAAAAAATCAATGAAACCAAAGTGGATTCTTTGAAAATATCACAAAATTGGCAATCCTTGAATTAAACTGACCAAGAAAGAAAGAAGACTCCAATTACTAAAGCCAATAACAAAACAAAAACAAAAGTGGAGACATAACTGTCAACCTTGAAGAAATAAAAAGAATTACAACAGAATACAATGGAGAAATATATGTAAAAAAAATTAGATAACTTAAATGACATAAGCAGATTTCTGGGAAAACAAATTACTGAAACTAACTCAAGAGGAAATAAACTATGTAAATGGACCTATTACAAGAAAAGAGATTAAATTAATATTTTAAGACTTCCCACAAAGAAAAGACCAGGTCTGGATGGCTTCACAGGTGAATTCTACCATTAAAGAAGATTTAACACCAGTTCTTCACAAATTCTTCCAAAACAGAAGAGGAAGTAATGACTCCCAAATCATTCTATGAGGCCAATATTTTCCTAATATCAATGTCAGACAAAACATCACAAGAAAACTACAGACCAATATCCCTTATGTATAAATGCAAAAATCCTTAACAAAATATTAGCAAACCAAATCCAGAAACATGTTAGAAGGATTATATACCATGACCAAGTGGTATTCATCCCAGAAATCTAATATTGGTTTAATAATCTGAAAATCAATCACTGGAATACAACATATTAATAGAATGAAGAACAAAACTTAAAAAATCCTATAATCTATCATGGTAACAACCACAGGAATAGAAGTGAATTTCCTTAGTTTGATAAAGGGCATCTGCAAAAAGCCCACAGATAACATCATACATAATTGTGAAACACTAAATGCCTTCCCCTTTAGATAAAAAAGGTCTGGTCTCACCACTTCCAGTCAACATTAAACTAGAGATTCTAGCCAGGGAAGTTAGGCAAGAAAAAGAATTAAACATCCTGAATAAGATATTGTTGTGTAGAACAAAACTGAAGTTTGGGGGCTGAAAGGACACTAAAATTCATTGTCCTTTGTTGCTCGTAAAAAGAGAGGACTGGGGCCGGCCCAGTGGCACGTTGGTTAAGAGCTGGCTTGGGACGCCAGAGGGCCCCGGTTCGGATCCCACATATGAGGGCCAGTGACACTGCTCTCTACAGCTAAGATGCTGAACAACAGCTCAACCTCGAGCTGGGCTGCTGTGACTAGCCGGCAATGGCATAGGCTGCAGCCCCTGTGAGTGGCCGTCCAGAAGCCGGCGACTGATCTGCCTCACTGGGGAAGAGCACAATGATGGTGCCAACTTGGGCCAGTGAAGCAATGTCCTCCACGACTAGACTGAAGAACAAAAAGGACAGCAACTTGTCTGTTCCCCTTCTCCCGATTCCCCAGAGGTGTTCCCATCCCCCAATTCCCCAATAAAAATGTTTAAAAAAAAAAAGAGAGGACTGTACTTCATTGTCATATAAAATGGAAGATTCAAAATGGCTCTCCTAAGAAGCCAGCAGAAAGCTATGGATTTCGTGTTGAAGCTAAAAAACAATTGCTGATCACTGAAATATAAATGCAAAATGTAGTAGGTAAGGACATGCAAGCCAGAAATACGATGACAGCACCCAAGTTTGGATGCTTTTGAAGATTTACAATAAAGTGTTGGGTTTTCCTAAAAATAATAATAATAATAATAATAATAATAATGACAGCAAGTAAAGATTCTAGTTTCCGAACAACTTGGTTATGTCCTGATATCTGAGGGAAGGTTTCATGGATGTGAAAGAACTACCTAGTGGCAGCCACCTGAATTACAGGAATAATGACTAGAAGGAAACGCAAGGCCTTTTTCAGTAGGACTCATAGGAAAATCCAAGTCTACAAAGTGGTATCTGGCGTTTGGCAAATGAAACGTAAAAAAATTTCTCTAAAATGAAAACAATCCCACCAAACTGAACAATTTTAAGGAGAGGCAGGCAAAAATGGATATTTGTTTGGATAACACTGTCCATGAGAGCAACAAAGAAAGACTAAATCTTTTTATGCATTTTCAATCAGGAGCTCCAACTCAGAATTCGGTGAATAGCTATCATAGGAGACATCTATCTGTGCAGCAGGTTACACTTAATGTTTCCAATGAATCAACACACTGCTGTTTTTAACAGGCTAGACAATTAACATTTTTAAGATAATTCAAAGCATCCACTCAATCAAATATGCAATTAAATAATGCTGTTTTCCTCAGCAATAGACTCAAGCAAGGCGCTATCCTCCACTTCATCTCAGATCTGCCTATCTCTTGGTACTAGAGCAGTAAATAATTGTCTTTCCACCACTCAGTTAATCTCCCATTTAAAAAAAAATGAAATCAATTTTACATGTGCAATAGACTAGGAGTCAACTAAGAATGTGGAATGTTTGTCTACTCACAGTCCAGATCATTTTCTGCTGCATAAATACACAACATAGAGAGTGAAAGATGCCCTGAAATCGATTCCAAAACACTGGAGTAGAAAACGTGCCCATGTGTCCTATCAAACTGGTGTGAGTTTATATTGTGAACAGTAAGTCATGTGGGTGGTTTCAGTGGCTGGAAAGGGCTCAGATAATGAAAAGGCACTGAGTTTACAGTTCCCAGGGACTCATTGCATTTTACTTGATCATCAGCTTCATAGTGAAGCATTCTGCTATATAAAACTAAGTGAAGAAATAGTGTGCAAAAGACAGAAGGGATTAGCCAAGTTAAACAGATCATATCATGGTGGAAGCCTACTGGGAACTGTCTAATATCCCATTAACATGGAAAACCAACAAAATAAAAGTCAACTGAAGCTACAGTTTTCTGGTACATATCCCTCAGGATTTCTTCTTTGTCTGGGCAAAGCTTCTTTGGGTAATAAGGTAGAGGCTCAAATGCACTAAGGATATCATCAAAGAGCATGTGTGCAAATATACAGAACTAAAAATATGCCCGAATGGAAAAGGCAAAGAATAAGGATGCTGATTCAAAGAGCTTCCAACCTGAGAGCCCCGAGTCTATAACATAAGACCCAAGATCACTCAAAATCACTCTTGTTGAAATAAATACATCTCAAGTGAAATAACAGAACAGGTGACATTCGCAAGTTATTTTATTGATGAAGATTGAATGGAGAAAATTTCATGAGCTTTACTTATCAGGCTATTCTAAATGTAAGGCATGACATAATAGGAGAAACAGACAAGACAGAGGGAAGAATTAGGCCACCATGGAATGGATGGTAAACAGATAGGGCAGAGTTAGAGACCATGGGAAAAAAGAGCAGCGTGGATAAAAGAGAAACCCCAGGGTTATTCTGGGGCATTATTTGCACTAAAATACAGGGGGGGGGGAAATCCAATCATATTTTAAATTTCTAATCATATGACAAAACAAAGTATAGCACTATCTATATTTTACTCATATTGTAATTCTGATTATGTTTATAAGTAAAAGAGTTTCAGAGTTTTGTATCAAGAGAGCTGATTTGTTTAGCTAAGAATATAACATTTAAAAGAGTGTAGTTTGTGGGTGAAAAAAAAAATTTTAAACCCCAAACTATATAATGTGATAGAAAGGAATGTGTTGTATAAGTTAGGGAATAAAAAAAGAGTCACCACCAAAAAAAAAAAAGTAAAGTGTATGGACCCCTTCAGAAAAGCCACAGGTAAGGAATCAGTGGCATACAGAAAGATTAGTCAATGTCTTGGATAACATGCAATATTTACATTTACAAATTACAATTTCCTATAAAATAGACCAAGAGCCACATCATAAAAATCAGTGTTTACCATGGTTTGCAAATAAATGGATAGCTCGACGATGCCCCATCTCCTGGAGAATCTGTAAAAGGTCGCCGATGGTCTTGTTTTTCTGAGCCCATGACCAAAGTAATTCTCTTGTTCCACTTTTACCTTGGTCCACATATTTTTCAATGTGACGAACATCCAGCCAGCTGCTTGAAAGTCGCTCTGCTGTGGAAGTTGCAATAGGAAAAACCAAAGAGCAGTTTATTTTATTGGAATACTTGTTTTGGTGTACCTTATGCGTTTTATTTCATTTTGTTGATAATTTTTTATTTCGAATTCATTTTAACATATATTCTTCACTCCACTTTCCTAATGTGACCATCTTCTATAGCCACAATACAATGATCAGAAAGATGACTAAACTGCAGACCTTATTCTAATTTCACCAGTTTTTCCACTTTTCTTGCTCCCTTCTAACATCCTATCCAGTTTCCTGCATTACAATTAGTTGTTATTTCTTAATCTCCTCCAATCTGATGATCCTCAGTCTTTTCTTGCCATTCAGGACAGTGAAATGCTATTGTATTCTTCTCAGTGCGTACTATCGAGAGGTTCATGATGTCTTATCAATGGTGATGTTACTCTTGATCGCTCGGTTAAGGTGGTGTCTGCAAGGTTCCTCCACTATGAAATGACGTTTCCCTTTATAATGAATAACTTTGTTGGGGGAGATAATTTGAGACTATGGCAATATCCTGCTTCTCTTCAGATTTTGCCCACAAATATTTGTATCTATCAGTGAATCTTGTTTATCGTAATTATTATTAAAGTGAGTTTGCTTAATGGCGATTTTCTATTTTCCCTCTCTCCTTCTACGGTCACTAACTGTAATTCTTCTGTAGGAAAGGGCTATCCCTTCTTCACCATTTGTTTAATTAATTTATGTATTTATATCAGTATGGACTAATGGATATTTATTTAATTCTACAAGTTAAAATCCAAAGCTATTATCATTAATTTTGTTGCTAACATTGTTCCAGCTTTGTCCATTTAGGTTGGCTCCTGTGTTCTTTTAACAAGCCCCATTATTTTGTGGAGATTTTCTTATTTTCTGGCTTACAAGATGCTCTAGGCCCATTTTGTATTTTCCCTGCCCTGGCCCTGTAACCAACTATTTTTCCAAGGAGTCCTTGTTCCTTTTATTGGATAATGGGGTTTAGAGGCAAGATCTAGGTGCCGGATGTACTCATGGCTGCCAGGGTTCCATGGCTTCTAGGTCTTCCAGACATACAAAGCTAGGAAACATTGTACATGCACTAACCCACATACCTACATTTCTGTCTGTACACATGCTAAAAAAACCATGATTTTATTCCAATAGCTCTGATTCCAGGTCAACACCGTATGGTACAGTTTCATCTTTCTTAATTTATAACTTCATTCTTGAACAGGGAGAAATTTTGTTCTCATCTACAATATATTTACTCATTTGTTCAATTCTACTATGTACGTAAAGTACTTTAAGAATTGCAAACCCATAGTCCTGTGAGAAACACATGAACTAACCAATTTATAACATTTTTGCACCATTCTTTTCGTCCTCATCCTAATAGAGTTCAGTTTAAGGGCCTGCTTTCCAGAGTTACTTAGGAGTTCTTCCCTTCAATGTGGTTACTCATCTATAATACAGTTAAGTTAGGTTCGTTTGTTGAAGTTTTTGGAATGCTGTTTTAAATTTTGTTCTATACTGTCTTGCTGCTGAACATTTTAAGCACTTAAAAGCTAATATCTGGATAGGATCAAGAAAGTGCTCTCCTGGGATATTAGCCTTTTAATTGTTCAACAACAGTGTTTATGACTTATTTATGGCCTGGTAGAAATATAAATATCTTAAGGCTGTCCTGAAATTAGATGAGTGTTTATGGTGCCCTGAGTCAACACGATTCTTCAGATAAAAAATTATACTGCCATTCTGCATAACTTCCACATTTCAAAGTGTATTTTTAGACAAATGAGGGAGAAAGATAACACATGACAGATGGAAGGGTGGCTGTCTTGTCCTTGGAACAATACTCTCAGGGTAGCCAACCACTAAAATCAGCAATGTTCTTTGGAGCCAGTGATGGTGATGGCATCATTCTCTCATGCCTTTAGCCTCCAGACTAAAAAATTTAGGAAGCCAGATTCAGATCTACAGATAAAATCCAACTGTCTCCTCAGATGGTCATGAGGACCCCCACCATATCAGCATAATCAGGTATGCGAATCAGTCTCCTCTCCCTCTGCCACACACAAATGTGGAAGCTAACCTCCAGCGGTAACCATGGTAACCTCGCTAAAAGATTCATCTATCCACCAAAGACATTGTCCAAAGGCTGATGTTCTTTTAAAAGACGAACAGGTGCTCAGATCTGAGATGAGCAATAAGCCCTAGGGAACTATCTTCCGTTCAGTCTGTTGCAGATGTCAAAGTCTTTGTTGTTGGTTTTTTTTTTTCCATTCTTAGGTAGCTACTATACCAGTAATAGCACATTTGAATCAAGATATCAGGAAGGCAAACATCTTCTGCTTGATGTGGCACCCCACCGCCCAACATGTTCTGTCCTACAAAGGTTATCTGGATTATTCAGTTCCCTTCCACTTCATATTTCTGCTGAGATAAGTAAATGCTTACGGTTGGCTGTGATCACAATATGAGGCCATTACTGCCCCTCTTTCTGTGAGCCCAAACTAGACTTGGCAGACAGTACTAGTACCCATCAGTATTTCCAGTCCTCTACCCCATCAGAGAGGATTAGGTTTCCCTGCCCTGTAAGGTTAGTTATGCCTATGTGTTTCTTCCAGCCAGAAACACTGAAGAGCCAGGGGCCAGCTCACAGGCTCCCATCTCCACCACAGCAATGGTAGAAGCACATGTTGATATGGGGTTGCCTCAAGGTCAAGGCAGCCTGAAATGCTGGGCCACCACATGCAGGTCAGCTGTCCTGGACGCTCGGTGATTTTACCGGGAGCAAGAGTAAACCTCTGTTAGGTTAACCACTGAGGTTTTGGTAGTGTTTGTTCCTTAGTCTATCCTGACTGATACACACAGTTTTATCTTGAATTTTCTGTTATTTCAGTCACATCTTATGCCCGAAGAGAGTGAAAGAGAGTGGCAGCTTTTGTGAGTCCTTATCAAACAAGGGAAGATAAGTTGAGACATTCAATGGGAACGCATGCTTACTTCGGCCATCGGGGAAAACACAGCTACACTAAAATGTCTGACATCATTAAGTGGGAATGTCTTTGCCCTTCCTCCATATTTTAAGTCCTGGCAAGAATATATTCATTCTTCATTTCTTTGAAGAGACGATATCTCATGAAGAGGCAAAGACTATCCAAATGCCAACATATGTTTTAGATGGCTTATCACTAAAAAAATAGAAGGCGGCCTTCAGAGCCAAAACATGTACAAGACATGGTAACTAATGTATTTCTTTTTTGATGATATAAGCTGCCTATTTGGTTGAGGCACATTTTTCATAAACATTAACTATTTCTAGAAGGTCTTAGAGGAAATAGTGCAAATCAGTGTATTTCAAACATTTGTTGAGTACATACTGCGTGCCATGAACTCTGAGCCTCATGGACTATACCGTCTTCTAAAGAGAAAAGTTGCCAATCAAGACATGTTGGTTTAGTGATGGCTCTGCCATTGACCTATGGTACAAGGCCAGTCACAGCCTCACGGAGCAATCTCAAACTTCTCATTCGTAAATGTCTTTTGAAGTAAACCCTCCCAAAATGCAGTAAATTTAGTTGCCCTTCCCTGACCTGCTGATTATATGAGCACTGACTTTAAAACCCCTCCAGTCTTTAAAATACTTCCTAGTCTCAAAATCAACATTCCAGTGAGGCAATGCTCAATAGCAAATTTGAGTAAAGGAAAAGTTTAGGTTTGTACTTTTTCTATTAGGAAATTAATTGGCTAATATTTATAGAGTACTAAGCATAATGTACCATTATAAAGTAGTAATTAATATTTATAAAACATACTCTTTCTTTCTTTTCTTTCTTTTTTCCCCTCTTTTTAGATAAAACAGTTCCCTCTACACTTTGCATTTTTGGGATAAGACATGCACATAATTTAATAGGCGTGAAGAAACATGATGGACTACCACGGCCAGAGAAGAAGCATGAAGGTGATGGGACATCAGCAGGCTTTGTAACAGGGCTGGGCTGAACCAAGGAAGAGTGAGGAGCCTATCAAACGGGGAATTGTTCCAGAAACGGAGAAAAGGGCGGGAGGGGGCAGAGGAGACCAGCAGGCTTACAGCAGAGGGTCCACATTTAAGAAAAGGTGAACAAGCTCCACGAAGTCTCCAGGTTCCTTTTGTAGGAATGTGTTTAGCACAAAGCTGTTCAGTACCTATTTGCTGAACGGCAGAGAGGGGCCCTGAGTGTTGTTAGCACAAGACGCCAACTTTTATCCTGCAAGTAGTTGGGCCAATCTAAGAATTCTGAGAAGGTGAGGCAAAAATGGAAGCTTTACCTTTTGGAAGATCTGTCTGGCAGTAGTAGCAGGAGTCTCATACACAATATTTGCACATAAAAAGGTATAAGCGTTTCATAGCTCACAATTCTCACAGTAGGAAAGGAATGGCTCATAACTACTAAGAAAATTTGCTTTTAACTTTTCAACTCCTAGGAGATGTCACATTGCCCTCATAATTCCATTCCCCACTTTAAAAAAAAAAATTTTTTTTGGATTTCCCTTTTAAACGTGCAACAGGCCACGATTCTGTGCTCTCTGTGGCTGAGAAATTGCTAACATAAGGTGCTTTCCCTTTAGCACATTTCTGAGATTTAGCTGGAGAATGAATGAACCGATGTCAAAAGAGCTGGGGTTTTAACTTCCCTAACGCTGACCCGGGACAAAGGGTTACAAGTTTGCACTAGGTCTAAGGAAAGCTAGGTTAGGCAAAGGCCTTTTTCTAATAGTAATAGTTCACGGTGTGAAACTGACTGGGCTGAGTGAAAATGCATACTGCAAGCACCGCTGCTTGCAAGGCGAGAAATGAAATATGTTTTCTCTTTCTCTAACTGGTGATTCACAGTGCACCCTGAAAAGCATTTTTTGCAGTGATGATGCACTCTGAATAGAAACACCACTAAAGAGTATGATTAGCATCCATGAAAAGGGTAATTCATTTAGATCAATTTCTATAAAATAATAGCTTCAATTT